CTGTTGCCAGAGAAAGTGAGAAATGGACCGGAAGACCAAGACAGAAACATTTAAATAGCTCAGTGTAGCATCATTATCAACATTATTATCACTTCGACCTTCAGATCAGTTTATTGACCTTGAAGGAGAGGTCAGAGGTCAAATGTGACACAATATTTTAAATCTTTATTTGGTGCTTTCTATATGCTGAAGACACAGCACATGTGTAAGAAGCACAGTTTCTAAGTTATAAGACTTTTTCATCAGTTTCATGAAGCTGACCTTGATGGCCTCGGTGGATGGAAGACAAATTTTCATGACTGTTACAGTCATCGTTACCATGACAACATGACTGTTTCCCTAACCCTACAGAATGAGATAAATATGCATTTACTGCTGAGGAGATTCATTTGATGAGTCGGTGCTCTTCCATCACTGAGGAGATACTACACTTTGAAGGAACCTTTCAGGCATGCTCAGACTTTACTCCCACTGCTAGTTACAAACAAAAATCACTAAACATAAAATCTTATTTTGCAGCTGAAATGCAACAAAAACCACTATGGTAACATGAAATGACGATACAGAGTACAGCACCGTGCTTCTCAAAGTCTTATTCTTCCTAAAGCAATGCAGTTTCATCATCTCAGAGTTTACAGGACAGCGAGGCGGACGCATCACTGCCACAGCGGGCATCGTAAACAATCATTTCATCTTAATGATTCCGCTGTGACCGTCAGCATGCTCAGTCTGGAGCAAACATCCAGCCGGCTCACTGTTGTTTTCTTTCAAGGGCACATTTATGAAAATCAAACAGCGTCTCAGGAATCAGGCAGCCTGTAAAAATCTATTTGGGTTTTATTGTGTTTCTCCACATTTCTTCCATTGATCAGGGCGCTGTCATGTTTTCTATTTCAAGCTGAGTTTCTGTTTTTTAGCTCAGGGCGCGGCAGCGAGCAGTAAGCGTGTCATTTACACCTCAGAGTTTGTTCATATGAGTAAAAAAAAAAAAAAAAAAATCTAAAATGACCCATAATTTATTCTGAGTGTGGGTTTATACTCAATGTTTCTGTTGGTATGGAACAGCAGCAAGAGGAGGAGGAGGAGGCCTGAACCTCCATCAAAGTGAAGAAGCCTCCTGAAGACCGGCATAGAGCAGTAATCATTTTAAGAGCCTGTGATTTCACAGGAAGAGGTCAAAGAAGAAGCTTTAATGTTTGTTTCTGGGTTTAAAATTTTCTTTTTTAGTTTAAAAACTGACCCCCGACCCCCCAACCCCTCATCAGACTCGAAGAAACACCAGGACCTGCTGCAGCTCTGGTGTTTACAGTCAGGAAAAATCATACATATCATACATTTCATACATTTTGCACTGAACAAAGCTGTAACCAATAAGAGATGCAGCCTGCAGCAGGTACACTGCAGTCTAACGACTCCACAGGTGGAGTCCGGACCTGAAGACTGCCTCAGTTACAGCAGAAGATCCAGGTGGAGGCTGAACACAGAGCAAGGTTTACTGATGAAAAATCCAAAAAGGAACAAAGTGGTTTCTGTCCTGGTGGTGGACCTTTAACTGGCGCTTTATCCTCTGGAGGATGTTCGACGGTGTGTGTTTTGTGGACGTGGAAAAGCCTAAACCTGTCAGGCCCTCTGTTCTGGTCCCAGTAGAACCACAGTGGGAGGCCGCATCACTTTGACTGTTGTAGGTCGGACCGAGGCTTGCTGGCTGTTGGATTCTGTTGTTCCAAGTGTAGCTGCACAGGGCGGGGTGTCACTGCAGGTCGTTTGCTGGGTCAAATGTGAAGAGGCTGGAATGAAAATGAACACTTCAAAGTCTCAAGCTGTGCTCTCGGCAGGAGAAGGGTGGAGGAGATCAAGTATCTCAGAAGAGGCAGCAGGAGAGGCACATTGGCACTGCTGTGGTGATGAGAAAGCTGAGCGTGAAAGCTGCAGATTTCCTGATTGGGGTGCGTTCCAGCCCACACCTATGAGTGCAGGTGTTGGTGGAGACCAGAGGAACAACATCAGAGATACGAGGGCTGCCCAGTCATTCGGCAGGGACTCCTTGAAAGTAGCCAACAATGAAGTTTGGCCTCTGCCCAGCATGTCTCCTGGATGCCTTAAGGTGAAGTTATGGGCCAGATTTACTAAATGTGAGCACAATCTCCAAAGAAGCCATACATGCCTTTTACAACAGTCTTGCTGTTCATTTCATTTCAATTTTCAGCCTTTAATATTGATGTAACATCTGTAAACTACATGTTGCAAATTTTGGTAAATCAGTTTGTGCGGTTTAGAGATTCTCCTCCTTGTTGCTCCTTGAGAGGAAATGCAAATGCAGCAGGATCTCTTACCTGTAACTGTCACTGTGCTGTTGCCCTAAACACAGACAGCTGCTGCCCCCCCCCCCCCCCCCCCCCCAAAAGCTGCTGTGTGACTCAATTCAATTTTATTTATATAGCGCCAAATCACAACAACAGTCGCCTAAAGGTGCTTTCTGTTGTACAGTAGATCGTACAATAATAGAATCAGAGAAAACCCAACAATCACATGACCCCCTATGAGCAAGAACTTTGGCGACAGTGGGAAGGAAAAACTCCCTTTTAACAGGAAGAAACCTCTGGTAGAACCAGGCTCAGGGAGGGGCGGGGCCATCTGCTGCGACCGGTCGGGGTGAGAGAAGGAAGACAGGATAAAGACATGCTGTGGAAGAGAGACAGAGATTAATAGCAGGTATGATTCAATGAAGAGAGTCTATGAACACATAGTGAGTGAGAAAGGTGACTGGAAAGGAAAAACTCATGGGAATCCCCCGGCAGCCTACGTCTATTGCAGCATAACTAAGGGAGGATTCAGGGTCACCTGGTCCTGGTCCACCTGGACTCGGACCTGAATGACAGCAGAACTTTGACCCGAAGGAAGACGAGGCACAAATCCAAAAACAAAGCAGAAGAGGAACACAAAGAAAAGCCTTCAGCTCATCATGACAGGAAGCAAAAACACGAGAACCAAAAACTACCAACAAGAATCTAGAGCTCAGAAAACCCCAGGATCACCACACCGTGTGACCTTCAGGTCAAATGTGGCGGACACGCTGTTCACAGGCCACCAATCAGGTAACTCGGTCATAAAATGTGAGAAATGTGTGCGCGTGTAAATGCCAGTATGCTTTTGCAGTTACGTCCCTGCAAAGACTTTACTCAGACAAAATAAATTATCCTGCAGTGTGATGAACACATCGCACAGCAGAAGAGCAGAGCTCGTTCTGCCATCCCCAAAACATCACCGATATTAAATCACAGGGATTATTTTAAAAAAGAACACAGCTTTCAGCCAATCACAGACCTCAGATATTTCTGTGTTTCTTTGTTTCACTACGTGGCACACAGATGGGTGTGTTTCCATAATCCTGTTTAATAATGCTGCCACATTACAGGGGCGTTTAAATCCTCACATCTTCAGACCTGCAGAGCTGCCCGTGGATGATTTAGCAGCAGAGGAAAAAATAATGACATGTTTCATCAGACACAGAGAGACGACTGCCACGTTTGCAGAGAGAAGGGAGGGAAGAAAAGAAGAAAAGGTGGGCAGACTGAAGAGTAACAACACCTCCTCCCCTCTTTTCTCTCCATCTGCAGCTGGACTGTGGCTTCCTCGCAGAATGGAAAACGCCACGTTGCATTGCAGGGATTTTCCCTCTCTCCCTCTGATCCAGCTGTTCTTCACATCAGCTCTGGTCTGCATGCTGGGAACAGACAGTAGCAGTCCATCAAACAATGAGACAGAGAAAATGAAGGGCGAAGAGCATGAGGCATGCACATGGTTCTTGATTGCTTCTGTCTGTCAGAGGACAGCAGGTGCTGGAAAAGCAGTCCATGAGTCTGAGCTGTGGTGACGTAGATGTTCTACAAACTCCCCAAAGCACTGATGTCACTGAGTTACAGTTTTACGGGAACAAGACTGAAGCTTTGGTGCAGAGCGAGATCGTGACTATTTAACTCAGGCATAGATGCACATTTACGGAAAAATAAGATTTACTTGCACAGAACTTGGACCCGAGGTTCAAGACCAGACGGAGAAGAACTCAGATAGCTGCAGTCTGTCCAGCAGAGGCAGCAGTGAGTCAGTCCCCATAGACAAACTTTAGAACAATGTTTTTATACTCACCTAGTTTTCAGTTTGCATTATTATGGGCGTGGCCTCTCTGACTGACAGGTGAACAGTGACACAGGTGGCTGTAGCTGCTAGCTGCCTGCTAGGCTTCACCTCAGCTACCTGGAGTCCCTGAACTGGACCTCTGGAGCGTCTTTATGCTGTTGCTCCATTCTGCTTTGGCTTAAACAACCCAGGACACAGAGAGGCTTCCGGTGCAGGTGTACGCCAGCAGCCATCAGTGACCATCACCAACCAGACACGCACTTATAATAATAATAAATACCATATACCCAAATACTGGACAGCTATGGTTAGCACTGTTGCCTGAGTTCTATGTCACATGCATGTTCTCTCCATGTTTGTGTTTCCTCCCACAGCCAAAAGGACTGAATGCATGTACCAGTGGCTGTCTGTGCCAATGGCTGTCTCTCTGTGTTAGCCCTGATTGGTCAAATTGTGTACGTTGCCTCTCGCCCTATGGTGACAGGGATAGGCTCCATCATGAATCAGCTGCTGGGACTGGGAGGGTTATCCTGATCTTATTGCTGCACAAAGTGCAAATGCTCAGCTAATCAATGTGTGCCCATCTTCCATATACAGTCTGTACTACGTCAATCCAGATGTTTAAAGTATTTTGTATTTGATGATTTTCTTCAGAGTTACCAAAATGTTTTTTATGTCTTTGATCTTTCTAACAGTAATAAGTAACGACACAGGTCACGTGCTTCTTCTCGTGTCATCGCTGCTCTCCAGTCTTCATTTATCCTCCAGCCACTGCGTAAGGGTTAACATCACAGACCCGCCCACAGGCGGTGGGGGAGGCTGTGATGGACCAAAGGGGGGGGGGGGGCTGTATCCAGGCTGGGACGTCCCATTGGAAATGAGCTGTGCGTAAAGCAGTACTGGAGTTAGATCGTCGGGGTCCCGCACACAGCTGACTTCTCTTCTGGTGTTCTTCTCTGAAAGCTGAAGGTAAGAGCTCTGCCTCCGACTCGTACAGACACATTTACACTTTTAGATGCAGTGAAACGTTTCTGCTGTTAGAGCTCTGTCAGTTGGAGTGACGGCTTTACGCAGAAGGGCTCTGCTTTGACCCTTTTCCTCACACACTTATCACAAACACAGATGTCCGTTTTAACTTCAGCGCATTCAACAGCTGGTACTTTTTTTCTGTTCCACTTTGTTGAATTTTGCTTTTAAAGGCAGGACTGTGGTCTGAGAGCAGCCACGGCTCCTCTGCCATTACTGCTCAATCACAGCCTGCAGGTGAACGAACTGAGAGCATTCAGACTGTGGAGCTATTGTGTGCCACATCGGCAATAAGAGGAGGGGGGCTGAGGGGGAGGAGGGATTCAGACCCTTTTTAATAGGACACTTTTGTTATTCTGATTCTCGATTTTCTGCTTTCCTCTCTTTGGTGAATTATTGTTTCTGTAAAAAACAATTATGTGGAAAAATGTGTGAAAATACAAAAACAAAGAGAGAAAGAAAATCGGACGAGGAGGAGGTGAAGCTGTGACAGATTCTAGTTTCTCCACAGTTTCCTCCTGACCCCCTCTGTGACCCCCTCCCTGATTACTCTTATGTAAAGGAATGCAGGTTGCCATGGTGATCGGTTACCAGCTGTTTCTTTGAGTTAGTGCTGATCCATGGTGCAGCAGCTGGATTGTCATGGAGCTCCATAAAGATTTTCACAGTTTGGTTAGAACAGCCTGACTGGGCCCATAGAGCCGTGACCCCCACCCCAGATCCACCCAGCAGCCTGAGGATAAACTAGAGAGCTGCACAGCACATATGACCATCATGACTTCAAGAATCCAAAACTTATACTGTGATTTTACGTAAAAGTACAAATCAGTAGTTTAACATTAGTGGCACGTGAGCTCTCATAATGATGATGGCTCTGCCTTTGCTCCCTTTTTGTGGATGGCAACATTTCCTGGGGAAAAAAAAAGGTCAACAGAAGAGACGTTTATGTAATTTTGCACCCAGCAGTTTGTTTTTTGTTGCATGAGGAAAACTGAAAAAATAACTGAAGATCTACAGGAGCTCTTTAACCACAGGAACCTTCGTGTAGTCACACCTGAGCTTTACTGGGCGATACTTTTCTGATTTGCACAGATTAAATGAAACTTTAACTCAAACTGAGTTGAGTTTTTATATCTTTAGAAAATCTTGGGTTATCTCAGTGCTCGCTGCTGTCTAAGGAAATGTGCTCAGTCCTTTCTTCTTGTGTCACACTCGGTTACATGTGTCTCAGTAAAATGTCTCCAGTCTCGTTTTGTGTGTTCGTCACACCTGTTGAGGATTTGTCCGAGATTTCTGTGGAAAGGCTGAAGCACAATGTGCCAGCATTAGTATGAGAGAAGTGCAGACACAGCGTCTCTGGCTGCTTAATTGTTGAGGTGGCAGGTCTGGACTGGAGTGGAAGGTGGAGGAGGAGGTGGTGGAGGAGGGGCTGGAGCTGAGGATGCTGTGAAAAGCCAGCTTGGCAATCTCTAGAAAAACACTAATCCCCAGAAAGGAAGGAGGGATTGTGCTACTGTCTGTGCTCAGCGCGGAGAAGAAAAATCTGGAGTTCAATGTGAGGAAGAAGGACGCGAGGAAGGAGACAGAGAAGGAGACATAAAAGTAAAAGAATAAAGAAATATGAGAACACACCAACAGACTAACAAGTCCTGCTGCTTAGAGGGAAAAGTCTCTTCAGAGTTCAGTCTGAGGTGTGACTGATTCATCGGTTTAAAGAAGCACTTCAGTCGAGGCGTGCTGACTTCTCAGTTGAATTTATACAACTTAAATCACCACAGCAGTCACCTCAAGGCGCTCAATATGGTGAGGTAAAGGCCAGACAATAATACAGGGAAAACCCCGGCAATCACACGACCTCCAAAGAGGAAACGCTTGGCGAGCGTGGGAAGGAAAAACTCCCTTTAAACAGGAAGAAACCTCTAGCAGAAACAGGCTCAGGGAGGGGCTGCGACTGCCTTGGGGTGAGGGAAGGAAGACCGGAAGTGTGAGAGGGGCTGCTCTGACTGACAGGCTGAGGGACGCTGCCATCAGTGAGCGGTACACTCCCTGTCTCTTGGAATTGTTTTGGTTAGCAGAGCAGTCGCCCTCTGGTGGACATTAGAGAAACTGCAAATCAAATCAATTCAAATCAAATCAAATCACTTTTATTGTCACATCACATGTGCAGGTACATTGGTACAGTACATACTGTATGAGTGAAATTCTTGTGTGCGAGCTTCACAAGCAACAGAGTTGTGCAAAATACAATAATGTAAACAAGCAAAATACAAGAATGGCTACATCTGAAACTAATAAATATATGTACAATATATAATAGTATATGCATTTCTGGATGTGTGTACTAAATATTTTTCTACATGTGTGTGTGTGTGTACACATATTTTACAAATTAAATAGAGTAAACAATAAATAAAATACCGGTATATAAAAATATACAGAGTTGAGCAGGTGATACAGAGCAGGTGTCAGACCTGAACGCTACCACCATCTTTTATGCTGTCTGAGGTTTTAGCTCAGATTTAGCTTTATAGCCAGGGTAAGCCAGCCAGAAAGACACCTCACCGGAGTTAATGTTAGCTTACTTCCACGGTTATCTAAGGCTAATGTAGATAGCTAACTGATATGAGTGGATCAGGTATTTCAATGTCTGACTTCAGGTCAAGCTACGAGCAACTTTCTGTTGTCTGGTGTTTTATCCAATCAGAGTAAAGCTGTAAGAGTGAACATTAAATCATTAAAAGTTTATTAAAAGTTACATTTGTGTGTGATTACATCTGCTTTATTCTTATCATCTTCCAAAACCTTAAAAAGAATATAAATAATATTGAAGTAAAGGGTCTGTGACCACCATACCGAGCACATAAAGTCAGGATCTCCTGGTTTCCTGCTGTGTGCGTTGGATGAAGTGAAAGCGGCAGCAAATGTAGTTCAGTGTTACAAAAGTGGCCGAGATGAAAGCGAAGAGCGCTTAAAGCCGGCCTGCCCAGTGACGGAGCAGCGTGCTCCCTCTGATCTGTAGATATGAAGATTGGTGATATTATTTTACCTCAAATTACAGCAATCAAAGAGAAGAATATCAAAGATAAAATTATGAAGGGAAGGAGAGAAGGATGAAATAGAGTCAAACAGGTCATGTGGCGAGGGACTCGGGTTACAAACATCCGGACTTTTTCCACTCGAGTTCTCCTTCATTCTTCTCTTTGTGCTCAGCGGTGCAGGTGAATGGGACGCTGTGAAAACTGCTCTTTGTTCAGGCAGGTCGCTGGGAGGTCCCTGTACTCCCTGGAAACCAGATTCATCAGGTGTGAGCTCGGACTGAAGAAAGAAACCGCTGTAGCAGGCTGTGAAGATTAAACCTGAAGTAATGCAAGAATCTGTAATGAAGCAATCCACAAAGAGTTAATGTCAGCAGCTTATATTCAATAAGTGAAGATTTGGTTAATTTAGAGAGATTCTGGTAAGGAAACAGTCCTACTGGTCCAGGTTGCAGTGAGATTTGATGCATATTCAGGAAAAACTACTTACCTCATCCATCCAAAGACATGCAGCCCATCTCACATTAGGAGTGTGATGAATTAAAAAATCAACGCTTTTTTATGGGATTCTGAAGGTCCTAATGGAAAAGTAACATCTGCTATGGGCCAGGGGTCACGTGGTGGATCTTAAGAGGTCAGAAAAGTGGATGCTCTCCATGTCACCTCATATATCCCTCTAGGACATGTTCTGCTCATTTCCACTGACGAAAACTGGAAACCATCAGTGACTCAGTGACTGCTGCTGCAGATTCTGTTGGGTTTGCAGCATCAGCCACGTCTTCTGTCCTCAATTAAATCTGTAGTGTTGTTGTTTTCATTTCAGCTACTTAGAAAGCAGATTGTTTAAAGTCGTTAAAGTTAGAATCATAATCTTTCTTCTCTGAACCAAACACGAAGGAGGAGTACGGGCTCAGATTGTGGTCATAAATATTTTGTATTTGTAAATCAGACTGCATCGTTGTGAACTGAGCTTTGTGACCTTGTAAACCAAAATATCTGAAAACTTTATAGAGTTAAATAAATTGTATGAAGACGGAGGACAGCGAACACATGTTCGATAAAAGATGAAAGGGTATAGTTGTGGTATACCAATGGTCAGAAATACCATTATTACTTTAGTATTACTTTAACACAAAGTCGCACTGCACTACAGAAGTGCCGTCGCCTTCCTCCATCTTCAAAATGTTTTACCCTTCTGGGACCTGAAGCTCAGTGAAGCGCCCCTCCTACAGTTAAATCCATCTGCTCTCTGATTGGATTGTTACATTTGTGATTGACATGACATTGATCAATCAGCTGACAGGAAGAAAAATTCATACTTGCAAGTTGAAACTCACACACAGCGAGCGAACTCGAGTTTTATGTGTAGGTTTTTGTAGACAAACTTTAACAAAAAAATTTGTAACTCATCAGTGTGATTTACAAGAAAAAAATCTGAGCCCATAGAGGAGACCCTCCAGCTTTCCTCTAACAGCCTGACTCAGGGTCTGCACTGATCTTTTACTTCCTGTCAGTCCTGTTCACTCGTCACAGACGGCTCAGCAAGGCTTTACGGCACACTCGGATTTCTGCCACCTGTTTGATGGACGGGTCTTTTGGAGCGGGGGTGGGAGACAGTGGTGCCAAAGGTCAAAGGGCAAACGCTGGAAGCCATCACAGAGGAATCTTTCCTTGAGGCGTCCGTCTCGATGGAAGAGAGGTTCTTCTTGTAGAGTTGAAGAAGTTATTGAGAAGCCAGCAGATTGAAGGAAACCGCTGTAGCTCACACTGAGCGAAGACCTTAGAAGCGAGATGATCTGAGGGCCATGCCGAGGCAGGAGAGTCAAAGTTTGGATGCGTCTGTGTTTTGTGTGCATCATGAATGCTGACCTTCCTCGTTCTGAACAGCATGTGTGTCTGCAGAGCACATCACACACAGAGGAAACCGCTGTTCATTCTCAGTGTTTGCTTTGCACAGCTGTTTGTCTGCAGACGCACTGCGACAGGTTGTTTATGCAGGCCCGCCAACCTGCCCGTTATGACACCAAGGAGAAGAAGAAAGAACCTGTGTGAATCTGCTCTCTTTGAAGGCCTGCCGGGAGAGGAGCAGCTGCAGAGGGAAATGTCTGCATCACTGGAAGATCCAGCTTGGGCTGTTTACGCTCGCTTACCCAGCTGAAATCCACTGGTGGGGAGGGAGAAAGGCCCCTTTATGAGCCTCAAGTTTCCCTTTTAGCCTCACCGTGTTTGATTATGTGAGCGGCTTTCCAAATAAAATAATTTGTTTTGCTGTTACATCAGCATGTCCGGCCTCCCCCTTCCCGCCGAGCCAAGCCCAGTGGCTCTCTGGCCAAACGAGAATAAGTAAAAGCGATGGGAACACCACGTCCCTCCAAATCAAACACTCGCTTTCCTGCTTATTTTCTCTTCTTGCTGCGATGACACTCAGCCCAGACACTCTGCTTACGATGTGTCAGAGGCCCTTACTTATGTCCCGTCTGCAGAACATCTTTTTTCTTTCTTTTCAAAAGGTGCAGAGAAGTGCCTTTGTGCAGGTCATTCTCCGACTGCTGCCAGCTCTTCTGTAATTTTCCACATCTGAGCTGCTTATGACTTCTTAGCCTTCTGAAACAGAGGACACCTCTGTGCCGGTCCTGCCTGGACTCTGAGCTTAGAGCAAACGATCTTTTACAGCTGCAGAAGCAACGAGTAACTCTACACATCAGAATTATTCTCCTTTTCCTAATACGACCCAATCCATGTCAGGATTTGACCCTAAGGGATGCAGTGCTTAACCCCCGTTAGACTTCAGGCCAAAGGAAACAGATTTCATCTTCTGAAACAGAAACAGGAAGTGATATCTGTTAACTCACCCACCAACTTAAAGGTTTTTCAGGCCTCCATCATCAGCAGTGATAATCAGAGCAAGCTCAGGTTCTTAAATAAATCCAGAGGACAGCATCAATTTGAACCACATGGAAATGTTTAAAGAACAAAAGAAAGTTGTTGCCATGATTCCAGACAAGTAGGAAAGCAAAACGATAAGAATTAGAACCATTTTTTCTTTGTGATTTATTTATTTATTATATATATTTCTTCTGCATGACCAACATGTAATAATAAAAAACTAAACTAAATAAAGAAAGCCCTGCTAAAAGTCCATTTCCCTCTTGGCCAGCTTCAGGAAGCCTACAGAGGGGCAGCAGCAGGACTTTGTGACTTTACATGAATGTGTGCACTTATATGCTGATACATTACCACCCTGTATCAGCTGATAGAAACCGGTGGGAGTAGAAGGAAATCTGGTTCCTTAAAGCTGCAAATTTAACCAAAAATCAACGTCCGTCCGTCCTTCCTAACGAGCACTGCTGTGAGCATTTGGAGCCGATCGCAGACAAACGCCAATCCCCGGACTCGTGTTTAGCCTGAAGGTTCTTCAAACAGATTTACTCTTTTCTGCATGTGTCGCAAAACGTCGCTCGACTCAGCCTCTTCGTGTCTACAGGCCTCGTGCTTTTCATCGGCCGGGCATGGTGTCAGCTTCAGTGTTTTCACAGTCCCGCCATTCAGCTGCAGCTATCTTTGACATGCTGGGAGGTTTAAAGCTGCAGAGGAAGGAGGGATCATTCGTTTTTATTCAACTGTTGTTGGTTTCAAGCTGCTGCACTCTTATCCGAGGCGCAGGAATTCCAAGTATGCACAGCTCTGTTTGCTAAGTCTTATTATCCTTGCTGATCTCACGCAGCCTTTAAACTGTGTCCGCTCAAAACTGCAGATACTGCCTTGTGTTTTGGGGCGAATTCCATTTCTTTTCAAAATCCAGACACAATAACAGAGGGAGGAACTTTGATCTGTATGGTCTGCTCCTTCTCATATGTTTGATCTCACAGATTCTTCCCCTGATGTCTGGGAGAAGCTTGATGGAGGTGCAGGATGAGATAACTAGACTGAGCAGCGCTGCGCTCTGTTGCAAACAAAGGAGGCTTTATTCAGTCCTCGAGACGTGACACAAAGAGGAGACAGAAGCCGGGATGAGTTTCCAACAGTGGTTCCTTAGAGGAGACACAGAGAGGCTCTTTTCACAGGAAATATGCACTTTCTGTTATCTTTGACACACTCGGGGTGACAGAGCTTACTGCAGCATGTGCAGCACTAACACGCCAGCGTATCAAGCGAATTTTGGTAACTGCACAATGACCTCTCTTCGTGAAGGTGGCAGAAGGTGGTGGCACCGTCACCAGCACCTAATAAAGCTCCCAGCTGGTGTTGTGTTTGGTTCCACCTCTAAATACACACTTTGTCCTTACCAAAGGCGTTGCCACTGCAAACGCACAGACGCCAGCGTGTCGCTCCATAATCGAGCCTCTCTGTCGCTGAGGACACGAGCAGCAGACACACCTTTAGGTTTCAGCACAGATCCTTCAAAATAAGTTGGTCAACTGATATTTGAATGAGTCCTCCTAAAACTCCAGCGAATCTGTTTCTGCAGGCCTCTCTCACATCCACGTCACCTCATGTCACTCTCAAGTGTTTCACAGGCGGGTGCCAAGTCCTGTCTCACCCTTTAAAAGACCCCAAGTCACATATCAGGGCCCTGTTATCACATATCTGTCATTAGGGTGTAAATGTGTGTTTAGCTGAGCTTAATTGAGGCTGGTCGATCCAAACACTGGCTGGTGCAAACGTTGCCTCGGGCTGCTGTGAGAGAGAGTGCACAAAGACCGGAGCCGTTTCCACCCGAAGAGCATGACAACAGGCCGACCCGGCCTCATACGGGGACCCCGGTTAGCATTCGGTCAGACTCCTGCAGCAGAGCAAACGCCTCTCAGAGGGAGAGATGGTTCTCAGATCGTCACAGACCATCTGAACCCAGCGTGTCGGGAAACAAAGCAGACAGTGAGCGCTTCTGTTTGGGAATCTGGAGCGCTTCCATCAGCGTCAGAATTGTCCCACAGGCTTCTGTGGTCGTGAGAAGAACTGCAGGGCTCTCTGCCAGAGGCGCCATAGTTTACACTGATTCTAACAAGCGAAAGAAGAAGCAACAAAAACTCTGCTTTACTTTGAGTGAGCACTCACACAAAGCTGCGTACTTAATCAAGTGTCTGTGTGCGTTTTTGTCAGCTCATCATCTCTGTTTGTCTCCACAGACTTTGAAGATGAGGGTGTGGATCGTCTTCCTCCTTTGCCTGGCTGGCCACGCCAGGGCTGCTCCTGTAAGTCACACATGCCTGTAAGAGTGTGTGTGCGTGTGTAGATGTTTACGTCTCGATAGCATCTTCCTTTCTTTGTGTGACCTCTTTTCTTCTTTCCTCTGCTGTGACTTATCGTGTGTGCGTTTCTCTTCGACGTGTGTGTGTGTGTGTGTGTGTGTGTGTGTGTGTGTTTTCCTCCCCTGTGAGTGTTTCTCTACTGTGTGTTTGTGTGGACGCACTCACATGACTTCTATGAGCAGCCACAAGCATTTAATAATGTTTAATGTGTGTGTGTGTGTGTGTGTGTGTGTGTGTGTGTGTGTGTGTGTGTGTCAGGCTGATGAGGAGCCCATCGTGGAAGAGCCTGGGACTGAGGAGCCAGTTGTTGAGGTGAGTCCAGATGTTGATGTTCTTGCCGTCTGTGATCATCGTCCATCACACAAACAGGAAGCTTCAGTTTCCATAAAACACTCCATAAGGATTCCTCTGTAGCCTTCGTGGATCTGTGAGAAACCCTGGGTGAAAGTCTGCAGAGGAATTCTCTGGCAGCGAGTGTAAGTGTGACCGTGACGTCTGTGGGAAACATTTGCTCTCCCGTATGTCTGATTTGGCCTCTGCGACGTATTTTCTGCTCGGAGATGATGCGATCTGCAGCGGAGCTTTAGGGTTCATCCGCAGCGTAGCCGAAGTTCGAGGCGTTTTTCCACTTGTGACTGCAGGAGAGACTGCTTCTGTGAAGAAATCAGTCCAGCAATAAAACAAAAACTTGTTGTTTTTTGGTTGCTTTCTAAAAACATGAGCCCAAAGGACACAACGAAGTGTTTTTACAAAGAGCTGACACATGTTTGAGACATGTCAGAAAGTAACTAAGATCAGCTTAATGAATCAGTCATCTGTGCTTCTGCTTTTGTTTCTGGGTCGTGACCTTCTTGCCTCGTCAAAGCTTTTAAAAAAAAGCCTGGGAGCTTCTGTTTTGTCCTTGAAGGCGTCTCAGGTTTTAAAGCAAATTCCGCCCAAAACCGACACGCAGCGACTGAAGACGTGAAACGTCCGTGCTTTTGCCTTTTCAGGAAAGCGCCATGTCACACACGGCAGGGCCTATTCTTTCAGTTTCTCTCCGTGATATTCCAGAAACATTCCTGCAGCAGAGCATAGAGTCTTCATGAGAACGTTTTATGGTTTCCTGCTTCAGAGGTCCAGTGGGACCAAAGATCCCACAGCTGTTAATTTTAGCTGCTCAGGAAGCCATTACTCCTTCCATAGCTTTGCCACATGTGGCCCCAGCTGCGTGTTATTGTTGAATATTATGGTCTGGCTGCTCCCAGACTCTGTTTGGCCTTCAGGGAGGAACCTTCTTTAGCGGTGATGCTTCAGCTTGTTTTTCCCGTCTTCAGGAAACCAGACGTATTTAGGCGGTTTGGTTTAAGTGGACGTCAGGCAGAAATAGACCCGAACACAGCTCAGACCTCAATCTGAGCGCTTTATGATCTGATCTCTGACCTCTCGTGTCCTTCAGGAGACCGAAGTGGGGGCCAATCCAGTGCAGGTTGAGATCGGAGAGTTTGACGAGGCCATCGACATTGTTGAGGATGTTGTCACTGAGAGTAAGTTCACAAACACACTCACTTCCGATCAAAACTTTAATGTCACAGTTAATGTCCTTCTGTCCCCTGATGGGTGGTAACGTGGACATGAAAGATGTTGAGATGCTGAAGTCAAAGCAGATGTTCCTGCAAACCTGCTGTAAACATTAGAATGAAGGATTTGATTTCACTGCATTTGTGGCTGTCTGAGTTTAGCAAAGCCTCAAACTGGCAACTCAAATGGCCGTAATGACAGACTCCCTCGCTCTGTAATTACACATTCCACCCACTTTAAGAGGCAGCTCAGCCTATGAGCTGCACAGCCTCACTTAATAATGCACAGCAGGTCAGCTACGAGCCGCTGTGTTCTCACTGCAACAGCTGACAGCAATTTGGTGATTGTTTGATGATTTGTATATATTGTGCTGCTCCTTATATCTTAACATATTGTATTGCTAATAGTCTAGTCTGTTTTTGTTTTTGTTTCTATTAATGTTACTGTACTGGAGCAACCGTAACTCTCATAATTTCCCTTGATAAAGTATTCTGATTCGGATTCTGACAACCAAAAAGGACAGAAGAGACGTAAAGAAGGAAAGATGGAAATGCAAAAATGATGCAGATCTGCCTTCTTTATGTCCACTTTAAATAAAAACTACATTTTGTCCCTTGAAGCTAAAACCTGCTGTTTCACTTCTGTTTTCTCCACAGATGCCTGTCTGAACTACCACTGCAAGAAGGGCAAAGTGTGTGAGGTGGATGAGAGCAACACTCCCATGTGTGTGTGCCAGGACCCCTCTTCCTGCCCACCGGTGGAAGGAGACTTTGAGCATGTGAGTTTAAAATCAGCCCGAGTGTTCCTGACCTGAGTGGTGTGACTGGCATCTGCGGCAGGAGCTGAAGCTGTGCAGCTCTGCGTGTGTCTGCATGAAGAGCTTTTGTCCTCTCTGCAAGCAGAAAGAAGAATTTTAGCATTAGGCCAACTGTAATCTGATTGGCCTGCAAGCAAAGCAGAGGAGCCACCGGTGGGCGGAGCTTCTCTATTAGGGCTATCTGGTGTCTGTGACATCACGCAAAGCAAAGAGTAGAAAGAAAAAAAAGAATTCCGAGCTTTTAGTTCAGTTTGTTTCAGGAAAATCATATTTTCAAACTAAAGGGCTGTTTTGGTCAGAAGCACACGTGTGAGGACTCGTCTGTCCCTGCAATGTCACTGCGTTGCAGACCGAGCTCTGCTTTCTCTCCTGCAGATTTGCGGCACTGACAACAAGACCTACGAGTCCTCCTGCCACTTCTTTGCCACCAAGTGCACCCTGGAGGGAACCAAGAAGGGCCACAAGCTGCACCTCGACTACATCGGCTCCTGCAAACGTGAGCTCTCACACTCTGCATGGAACCGTTCAGGCAATGATCCATTATGGCACGGTATAAAAACACATGATCTGCAGACCATGCAGAGATTTTCCTCTATTCATGAGGACTCAGATTAACAGACTAACACGTTGTGTTCTCTGGATGCAGGTCTTTAGCACAGTCTGAACTTGGCTTCACAGATTTGTCCAGTTAAACAAAGTTTTAAATCAGAAATGGAAACAAACTGTTTGTTTCCATTTCTGATTTAAACGGTCCTGAATCAGCATGCAAGTATTTTAGATGGTATCAGTGAGCATTAAGTAAGCTCACAGTGCGGCTAAGTGGAGTGCCAGAGGTTTCTTCCTGTTAAAAGGGAGTTTTTCCTTCCCACTGTCGCAAATGTGCTTGCTCATAGGGGGTCATATGATTGTTGGGTTTTTCTCTGTATGTATTAATGTAGGGTCTATCTTACAATATAAAGCACCTTGAGGCGACTGTTGTTGTAATTTGGCGCTATATAAATTAAACTGAATCGAGGAGGACGCTATCTCCTTTAATCTGAGTGGGTACAGCAGGAATTGAAGCGCTGAGCCTTCGGGTGGTCTCGAGTGAGTCTGAGTCACTGAGTAAAGGACGGGATGGAGGGCGTGCTGCCTCCACCCTGGTCACACACAAACGTTAATGTTGGCTTCGGGGAAAAAGCCTCTTTAATCACGTGTAAAGCACTTAATTATTTGAACCTGTTTGCAGCATTTAAACTAATTCTAGAAGATCTGAAGGATGAGCTGCAAACCTCCAATAACGCACAGAAACAAAGATGAAACTGAGATATGAAGTATATCTGTGGATGCATGAGGACAAAGAGGAGTTTGAAGTGGCTCTGCAGTAAAAGGAGTGCAGCTTTTCTGAGATTTCAGGGAGAACCTCTCCTAAATTTATCTGACAACTCGACTGGAATTTTATCTCATCTGGATTTCCAGCTCATGAATTTGGATATTCTGGTATCGCTGCTCCCATCTTTTATTTCGACATAGTGCGTTTTGGTTTCTTCCTGTTTCTGTTTTTTGGTTCGGTGTTGATGGTTCAGACGTATCTGAAGTTTAGTTCCCAGTCAGTTCCCCTGCCTCCTCCCCGGCATGCCAATAGGCTGAGCTCAGGTATGTCAAAGCACGCTAGTGATTGATGGGTGGGTCTGACTGTGGCTGTGGCTCAGCGGCGTTCAGACGTGTCCCAACACGCGAGCTATAGAACACGATACACAAGCTCAGCACGAGGAGAAGTGTTTGGGCTCCAGGGTTTAAATGGAGATCACGGCACTGTTCAGTACACCAAAGTACACCTGGGTGTAGCCGTCACTTCTAACCCTGCATCATCAATGTTTGAAACACTCATGCTTTGATTTCCAGTATCACAGACGTTTGTGCAGGTGTAGAGCCCAGCAGTCAGTGTGAGTCTGTGTCTGATGGTGCTTTTGTCTTGCAGTCATCGAGCCCTGTCTGGACAGCGAGCTGACAGAGTTCCCGCTGCGTATGAGGGACTGGCTGAAGAACGTTCTGGTGACGCTGTACGAGCGCGACGAGGACAACAACCTGCTGACCGAGAAGCAGAAGCTCAGGGTGAGAACAGACCGGCTTGTTGATCTGTCCTTTATTCTGTTCACAATAAACTGTCATCATTTTAGACGGCAGTCACAGACACAAATGTTTCAGGTTTCATGATGAAACGTAAGTTTAAAGAAGTGTCTTTAAGCACATTTGTGCTTCGAGTGCTTTGAAATGCGGTCGAACAGTTTGAGGATTTAACCTCAGCCTGAGGAAATAAGTAGTAAACCTACAAACATGATAAAACAGAAAAAGGCTTTTAGGCTCTTTATTGTTGCACGTCTGCCACTTCCAACATGACCCGACGTGAACTCCTCCGTCCGACGTTTCAGGTGAAGAAGATCTACGAGAACGAGAAGAGGCTTCAGGCCGGTGATCACTCCCTGGACCTGCTCGCCCACGACTTTGAGAAGAACTACAACATGTACATCTTCCCCGTCCACTGGCAGTTCGGCCAGCTTGACCAGCACCCCGTCGACGGGTATGTAGGGGTCATGGGGAGGGGGAGATGATGCTGCGTCTCACCAACTAAAGGCCAAACTTATCCTTGCTGTCCTGTTTGTTTGCTTCCAGATATCTGACCCACACAGAGCTCGCCCCTCTGCGCGCGCCTCTCATTCCCATGGAGCATTGCACCACCCGCTTCTTTGAGCAGTGCGATGCTGACGCCGACAAATACATCGCCCTGGAGGAGTGGGCCACCTGCTTTGGCCTCAAGGACCGTGAGTACCGAACACCTGACAAATCTAATACGATCCCTCGGACTGTGGGACAGAGTTTTTGGGTGGGTAGGGCGTGACCCGACGAGCTCACTGTTCTGACCGTGTCCTCTCTGTGTTTCTCGTCTTTGTGTTTGCAGAGGATGTGGACAAAGATCTCATCATCTGAGTCGCTCTGACCCGCAGCAGCAGTATGATGTCTCTTATTCGCTACTAACGGGAAAAGGTGCTGATCCCTAAGTTAAACAAACAAATGACAGTAACGGTGCTAATTGCATTTCTATTTTTTATTTCTCAAATAACGGTCTTTCCTACCTATACCACTAAAATCAATTAGAAGAGAGAAATGTGCACAGCCTGTACTAACCCGATGTGTTTACGGATCTTTGGATCGTCCACGTGTGGAACAAAAAGCTCCTGTAAAAAACAAAAGACCTCTGATGTAAATCTACGTGCTGCCAGTGTTGTATTCATGCTGCCATGTGTTCGGGGCTTTAATTGGAGATGGCTTTGAAGTGTTGTGAGCGGACAAAGCTGTAAATTGACAATAAAGTTTGGAAATAAATGCTCCCTCTGCTTGCTTCCTACTAAAATGAGCTGTTTAGTTTTTGCACTCTTTCGGTGGTGGACTCTCTTTTTTTTTTTGTCATTTGATGTATTTTGGTTTTTGATCTTATGACTACTGCTACACCAGTACATTGAAAGCAATAAAGAGGATATATTGTTATGACGAGGGGAAAATCTCGCAGGCTGAGAGTTTTTCTCATGTTTCTACTGACGCTGAGAGCCGGAGCGATCTCTTATCCATGAATAAAAAACTATGAAAAGATCTGAACATCTCTGCATGCGTTCGTATCTGCATTTCTTTCTCCCGTTCTCTGGAGCTTTTACTAAAGCCATCTGTTTATGGGCACGTTTTTGGGAGAAGGACGTCCTCTGTGGTGTCTCCTAACTCCACCTTTATCAGCTTTAAATACTCTGATTCCCAATTACACCCCCCTCTTTTTAAAAAAAAATATTTTTTTTACAGTCTTCCCTTTGCCCCCGATGCAGTAAATAGTTTAAACTTTTTCACCACCACTATGAGTAGTGTGGAGGATTAGTAGAGTGGAGCAGATCCCAGTCCCTCTGGCGATGAACAACTTTTAGCCAAAACGTTGAAGCGCATGATGCAAATGACCTGAAGCCCTAAGAATCAGAGCTGCCAGCTGTGAAGTGGAAGAAGAAGAAAAACAGACGGTCCAAGATTAGGCACAAGCAAAGTCTGTATAAAAAAGATGGCTATAGCAGCTATAGTGGGAGCATTACCGCTTTGACCATACCGCCGTTTCCACCGTCTCCACCATCTCCATCTTGGCGGCAGAAAGACCTGGATGTGATGACATCGTGCATCGTGCTCATTGGCTACTCACCTGTGACTGACAAGTCGTGAGTGAGCGGTTTGATGTCACAGTTAATAAAGTCTGATTAGGATTTTCAAAACAGGCTACATTTTTTTATTCAGTGGGACCCAAAACAGTCTACAGGGGTCACAAAGCTGAAACCACAGCTATCGCTCCCTGGTGGCTTTCATCATGCATCAAAGGTTGGTGCCGAGTATCAGGTAGATATTTTTGGAGAACCACAGAAACAGCTGGATTTTACAATATTTATTCAGTATCTCCAATTTAATCCAGCTGTGGGTTACGTGTGCACCGAAGGCCTTTTTACTGTGATTTCACTCAAAAGTTGTCTTATTTTCTCAAAAACAAACAAAACTTTTTTGAAAGTGTGACTTCTTCAGCTGTAAATATTATTGTTAGACAAGGTGAACGTCTGAAATGATCCAATGATATTGAATCTCCAGACGGAAACCTTCTGATTTAACATTTGCAGGGTTTGTGTTTTTCCTACAGCTGGTATCATATCAAAGCCACATGAGGACCACAACTTTATTAACAATTATTTGACATAAAAGCTGAAAATGAGACTAAAATTGAGAAATCACTGTGAAAATGCAGACGATTACAGGCCTCTCTTTAGACTGCACTCATTAAAACACAGGAGTGAGCTCGGAGCGTGAGTGCACGAGTTGCAGCTGCGTGCCTGCTGACTGTCTGCAAAGCTGCTCGTGGTCCCCCGGGAGACCGGAGAGGGAGAGGTGGTGCACCCGGTTACCGTCTCCACCCGTTCATCCAGACTCCAGCGTCAAGTATGTGAAACAACAGCCTCGCCTCGTCCACAAAGATTCCAGCCCCGCCTCCGAGCCGCAGGGGGAAAAAAGCTGTGAGCACAGCAGCGATTTCATCCAACAGACGAAGGTTTACTGGAAGTTTGAGTCACTGCAGCTGAGGTTAGGCTGGGAGGGGGGAGAGGTAGTTTTGTCCCGTTTTAAACAAGCAGAGAATATGAAGCTCAGTCCTGCAGAGGAAACAATCCTCATTTACACAGAATAAAAGCCCTCTGTGCTGCTGTGAGGCCCTGTGTGCAGTTTAAGGGCACTTTTAATATGAAAAGGACCATAAAACTGACTAAAACAAACTCTGTGCAGCAGCCCATGGTCGTTTGTATTTTTGATATAAATGTCCTGTGTTTGGCTGATGTCACCGCGGGGCTCTGACGTTTGTGCAGCTGTGCAAAAGTCAGTGTGGGTTCGTGGTCAGACGGTGTTTGGAGGCTGCATGGACGAGCACAGAGCCTCGCAGCTTTAGGCGTTGCTGCTCTGAGCACATCCCAGAGCCCCAAACAGAGGAAAGACGTCCTCTGCTGGTGCTTCCTGATCCTGAGGCCGTGACTGAACAGCTTTCGTTGCTCATTTATTCCCAGTAAGTCCTGCTCGCCCCTGGCGTGTGCTGCCACCTGCTGTTAATGCGACAGTTTAGTCTTCCACTTGGGGGGGGGCGGTCTATCCCTGCCATATTTATCAAAAAGATTTTATTCATATAAAAATAATTTGGAAAGATGTTTCACTGCATTTTTGACTTCTACATCATGAAGACAGATAATAGAAACAATTCAATTTCACTTCAGTTACAATTTTGGTTTCCAGCATTTATTAAAACTAAACGAGATAAAGCGGCGCTCTTCATTGGACCCGTTGATGGTGTTCATATGACCTCGTGTAAGATTCACGTAAAGGACGAGGAGAGCAGAGCTAACAGGAGGAACAACCTCGTTCACCGTCATGTCAGGGAAGGGGCAAACACATTAAGCCACGTCTCCTGTGGTTATCATGAACACAGCCTGAAGTGCTGACCTAAAACAATTTCCCGAATCCTCAGATTTCCAGCACAAAGCTGGCGATCTATTAAAAGAAAGCACGGAGAGAAGCCGGTGCTGCAAATAAAAGAAGTTTAATTTAAACTTCTTTGAAGGTTAAACTGAGCCCATCCCGAGGTTTGTCTAAACACAAGAAAGTTTTCCTGTGCAGGAAACCAAAGCTTCTGGATTTATATGAAAAACTTTTTAGTAACGAACTTGCTTTTATTCTGAAAATAACTAATCACGGACAAAAATGTTTGAACTCTTGATTTCTTTAAATTCAATCTGAATAAACAAAACAACCCAAAAGTGAACCGCTGTGAGAGCAGGGGCGCAGGTGGAGGTAGTGACGGTGGGTGGAGTTTAAATACCCGGGGTCAACACATCCACAGAGAGGCGGAGAAAGTGCAGGAGATGAGTGTCAGGTGTGATTTATGACAGAAAGAGAAGTGTTAAATGTGGAGGTGAGACCTGCTGTGAGGGTTGGAGATGGCGGAGGCTGAGATGTTCAGTGAGCAGTAGACTTGTAGTCAAGACCGCCTAAACCAAGACCAGAGGGCATCGAGACCAAGACAAGACAGACCGAGTCAAGACCAAGACAAAGTCGAGACGAGACCGAGACAAGTCTTTAAACTGCAGCCAGATGCTGCTTCGTTTACAGGTGTCAGGCATATTTATATGTTTTTGAGATGCACTCGCACAGCCCTCCTCACCGCTGTCTACTGTCTCACTCACTGAGAGGACAGACGCACGCTCCACTTGACTGTCGTGTCTCTCACCCTCTCTGTTTTTCACATAATGATATTATCCTATATCCTCGCATGTGATTGGCCACAATATGGAGGGATTGGAGCATAGCTGAGCCACTGTGTGAGAGCTGAGCAGCGAAAGGAAATCTCGCTCAATGGGAGTCGACTCTTCCGATTCACTACTAAGCACTCTCTAAGCACGGCTCAGAGCTGATGCTTATGACACATTATCGGACGTTACGTTGTGTGTCATGGATACTGTTGACTCCAAATCTCCACGATGTCGATCTGAGACAGCAAGACCGAGACAAGACCGAGGGATCCGAGACCAAGCCCACGTAAAAGGGGTCTGGAGACATCCAACTCTAGTGAGCAGGATCAGAGGGTCTGAGCATGTGCGGAGGAGAGAGGGTGGAGCTGCAGGCAGGGGGATGCTTTACTATCAGCAGAGTGTAAAGTAATGATGTCATAGACGTGGAATAATCACAAACAGTCTCACGGTTAATTTTTTTTATTTCAGTATATTATTTGTGACGAGAGGAGAGTTTCCTGTCTCTGCAGAAAAACCAAATCAATAAAAACGCTTTGAATGAAAGATGACAGAAAAACGTGAGCAAAGCAAACACCCAAACGAACAAAAAGGAGAAAATGAGAAATGATCAGTTATTATTCACACTTGTTCTCCGAGCATGATTCAAACACCCCGTCACATAAACTGAAGACAGAGAAGGCCGTACTCTATGTGAACTCTGACAATGGCTGCTCTCCACAAACACACAAACAGCTTTAATGTTTCTAATGTTTCAACTCGCTGTGAACTTTACCGTCTGTTTCCAGGACGATGTCTACTTCAGTTAAAACAGGAAGTGACCGCACTATCCCTCCGAGCTGCTCGCCGTCCCCTTAAAGTTTGTACAGCCTGACGTGTTTATGTCATGAGCGATGAGCAGAGTCCAGTAAATATTTTATTCTTAGGCAAGCTTATCAGTTTCCTCTGACGTTAAACTAAACCGTCAGCTAACCATCAGAACGAAGCTTCACAGACGCCATCGAGTAAACCAGGGGGCGTCGACAGGCTGGAGACTGATCAGAGCAGAGCAGAGACAGACAGACACACACAAAGTTGTTCTCTGAAATAAAAAATAAAAAAAACACTTTCAGGAAATCCTGGATTGAACTGAATGATTCTGATTGGATGGATAAAACAACGACGAATCAAATCGATCAGGCCGCGGCCAAAGAGTCCTTTCTATTCCCTCATGAGTCTCTAACTTCCTGAAGGCTGCAGGCACAACCAGAGCCGCTGAATCCCACCAGCACTAAGGAAAGGAGCTTCTAAGCGTCCTTTATCACCTCCTTCGGCAGAGGAGACCTAGGAGACGACGACAAGGCTGATACGTGTCTGCGGCAGAACATAACACGAGGAACTGACCCTAACATAACGGACGTGAAGTGGATGTGTGTAAGATGATCCTCTCGTCTCCACGGCAGACCCACGTTAACACCATCCACCATCGCTGTGAAGCCGGCTGAGTGGGAGCGGTCAGACTCGTCACGTTTAACGTCCAGCAAAACCAAACAAATGAGGGATGTCTGAACTGTTGGACCGCAGCCCGAGGCTCCGACTATAATCTGAAGCCTTCCCGTTGGCTGTGATGACTTCTTTACACGAGTTTGTTCCTCACATGTCGGCACTAAACCAGCACCAGCTCTCCTCTGTAATAAGAAACCATCTTCATGGATCAAAGCCACGTTCACGTTCTCTGCAGCAGAACACACCTGATCAACAAAAAGCAGGCGTAACACTCTCTTTAAGAAAACCCCCCCAAAAGTTTGTCAA